CACACATACACACACACACACACACACAACCACACACACACACAGGCACAGACAGAGGTACGTTCTTTTTTTTTTTCCTATTTTCTTTTGGTTGCAAACCCGTTCAAATTGAGAAAGTCCGTTCATTGTGCGCACGTTCGAAGCGTTCAATTTCTTAACGTTGAACTCGTGTTTAATGAACGCGTGGTTTTATAGCAGACAGATAGACAAATAGACAAATGGATAGATAGATAGATAGATAGATAGATAGATAGATAGATAGACAGATAGATAGATAGATAGATAGATAGATAGATAGATAAATAGATAGATAGATGAAGTTAGGTAGGTAAGTAGGTAGGTAGGTAGGTAAGTAGGTAGGTAGATAGGTAGGTAGGTAGGTAGGTAGGTAGGTAGGGGGTCGGTAGGTAGATAGATAGGTAGAAATATAAATAGGTGCACAAATAGATAGGTAGAAAAATTCATAAGTAGATAGATAGATCGGTAGACATAGATAGGTAAACAAGTAGATTGACAAAGAGATAGATTAACAAATAGATTGACAAAGCGATAGATTGATAGATTGATAGATTTATAAATTTATTGATTGATTTAAAAGGAATATAAGCAAGAGCAATAGATAGAAAACAAGTTGCAAAATCACACAGAAGTTCAAATAGTTATGTACCAAGCAGAGAACATAAATGCACCAAGATTCCATCCACATAAGAGCGATAAAATCAACTCGTGAGCCGATGTCCAAGCCCTCAGGCTACACCAACATAGTATCCAATGTCGCTCCTACTGTATGGCACCTGCTGCCAGTGCCCAACCTACTGTAATCAGCCTATCTATCCTGTCTACATTCGTTTAACAGGATCACTTCGTCGCCGGAGACCAATGTACATGACGTCAACACCAATGCCGACCTCCCACATACACCAATTACGTTCTTCCCTCATCAGACCTTGTCCACCCACTCATGTGCCTCCTTCCCTAAAGACCACCATCGCCCATCACCTGCCCAAGCCCCTGCAGCCCGGCTATGCCCCCTACACGCCTCGCTGACCTGAGGTAACGGACGCTGAAGGGCAGCGGGGTGCTTAGCGGGTGACACATAGCCCCAACCAGCATGTGCTAATGTAGACACCTGCGCAGCAATGCAGCAGCGTGACTGTATTGCCTACCGAGGCCAGAGTGCCAGCTTCTGGCCAGCCTCCTCCCTATATGGGAGTAGCTGCCCTGCTGGGCTGCCCGCGCCTGGCTGAAGAAGTTTCCAGTAGCTTTTGGTCGAGCCCTAGTGTCTGTGGCCAAACCCATTCCTATAGTTAAGGGCTTGGGCCCTCTTCAGTTGGGCACCCTCAGGTTGCCTCCAGGCTCCAAGTGTTTGCCGTGTTTGCATTGGCCCCCGGGGTAGGTGTGACGACAATGCTGCATTCTCATTGCCCCGCGGCCACTTCGTGATGCGTCGGCCTCACACTGCACACTGCGTGTGCCCAAGGCGCAACCACCTCCGTCCTGGGCTCAAATGCTTGACGCATCTGCTGCTAAGGAGCAAGGGAGATCCCCAGGTTGCCCTTCAACCAACTGGCGTGCTGCAGCTGTCTGATACCCACATTGGAAAATGTTGAGATAAGGGCCTCGCATGGATATTCAGGCCCGCCTTCACTTAGGGCGGGCACGAGGCTTGCTGGGGGGCACAGTCCATAACATGTGCATGTTGGCTAGGGCCCCATGAGGACACATTCCTCACATTCCATCCCCCTCAGCTTCGAAAGTCCGCTGAGATGCTGGTACCTTCCCCTTCACTTACGTTCATATTCTGCCACAACCTGAGGGGTTGTTTCAACCAGTTCCTCTCTTGTGAACCATCAATCTTCTTTTGGATCTGTGTGATGCCGCTGATGCGTGAATCTGACCCGGTACTCCCTCTTGGGTTCCGACGGTCTTCCTCTCCCCATAGGCTTGGGAACAGGCATGTCTCTGTGCTCCAAAATATCATCCACGTCCATGTGGCCATCCATGGTTGGGGGCAGCATTGATCTCCTTGATGGAAACTACTGTGTCTCAGTGAAAGGTGCAAGCTTTGGAGCGTGAAACACAGGGTAAGTGCGCAAGTGACCAGGGATATGAATGACATACGAGGGACCGTCCAAATTACTACCCACGATATCTAAGACCTCCCAAGGACCAAAGTACTATGGCATTAGTTTTCTAGAGATGCCGAATTCTTGTCCTAGTTCACTAGCCTTGACCCAGACATGTTCCCCTACCTGAAATGTGCCCATCTGTTCAGCGGCCCTCTTCCACCTCTCGGTGGTGAAGCGGACATCTATGTGACTAATGATAGTCTTCGGCAGTCCAAGATCACGCACCCACTTATCCATAAATAACTTGATAACGTGTCCAGTCCTTGCAGTCTCTGGCATGGCAATCAGTCTAACATACTTAGTAAACCTATCAACTATGACGAAGATATGCCTCTTGCCACTCTTGCTGGTCACGACGGTATCCATGAAGTCCATGGAGTCGCTCTGTCCTGGACCCGCAGGAATGGGTAAGGGCTTGAGTAACTTGTCCCACTGACAGACTTGACAAGTCTATATGTACTCCTTGGCTTCGTCTAGCATACCAGGCTACCAAAATCGTTGTGCCGGATTTGCACTAGTCTTTTTATAGCCAAAGTGACCCAGCGGTAGAAAGATTGCCTGTTCATACCGAAAACATACAAAAAATGTAATTCGAACATAACACTGAGCATGACGTTGTTTTGCATGGGCCCCCAAAAACGAAATTGACGGCATGGATGTAACACAACTCTTTGAATGAACATTTTCCTAAAGAGGAGATTCCTCTGCATGTAGAGATCGTTAATACTCATGTGTGGGATAACAAACATAAGAAGTGGAACCGAAGAAAACGGGATCTTCACGGTGGTCCCTTCGAAAAAATACCTCGATCGCATCACGCAAGGCGAACGCTTCTATCTGCGTGTGTTGTGAAACCATGAACATTCTCGTGGGGTGCGCTCTTTTGCCGAAATTTGTACGCTGGACGGAGTCATATACGGTTTTTTCCGATCCGTATGTCTTCCATTGGGTCTTTCATCTGACATGGTCTTATCTTTTGCCTCAAGATTGCTCATGATGTCCATCATGACGGGGTCTTCCTTATAGGCTTCCACCAAGGATCTAGTTACATCATCGGATAAGCCAAACTCAGTAATCAGCGCACCTAGGTAGTCTGCCCTACGTGACAGCGCATCAGCAAACTTGTTGTACTCTCCTTTCACGTAGTCTAGCTTAAAGTCATATTGATCTATGACTTCAATCTGGCGTTTAAGTGCGTCAAAGAGAACAGGTTGCGCCTTAATCCACTTGAGTGACTGATGGTCGGTTCTCAAGTAGAAGAGTTTTTCTAACTAATAGTGTCTCCAGTGAACAAGTGCTTTGTATAGGGCATACAGTTCCCATTCGTAGTTGGACTTTCCCAATTTCTTTCATGTTATCTTCTTACTCATGTACTCGATCAGCCTTAACTTCTTCCCTTCCTATTGGGCCAACACTACGCCAATGTCATATTGGCTTGCATCAGTGGTCAAAACGAATGACCTCTCCGGACCGGGAACCATGAGAACCTCATGGTGCATGAGAGTATGCTTCAAACACTTGAAGGCTGCCTCACACTCGTTGGTCCATTCACATGATGTGTCAAGGCGAGTTAAATCAGTCAAAAGCTACAGTGCTATAGTTCTTCACGAAGTTGCGATAGTAGTCAGTCATCCCTGAGAAAGATCTGACCACTGTCACAGACTGCGGTTATGGATAGTCATGAATGCTACCCACCTTGGCATCTTCGCGCCTTATCCCTTCCACGGATATCTCATGACCCAAGTACAAGATTTTAGTGCGACTAAACTCACATTGTTGTACATTAATCTTATATTTGTGTTGTCGTAGGAATGAAAGTACGGTTTCTACATGCTTGGCATGCTCCTCGGCTGTTCTACTAAAGATAAGTATGTCATCAAGGTAGACAACGATGAACTTATCCAAATAGTCATAAAAAATTTATTCATGGCGTGTTGGAATGTACTCGGCGTATTGCAGAGACCAGAGGGCAACACCCCAAACTCATACAGACCGTACCTGGTCATAAAAGCAGTTTTATGTTGGTTGTGTAGCACGGTGAACGTGTTCACACCCCTTCAAATTCACGCGAACGTGTTCGTGCGTTCACGAGAACAACTCACGAACATGTTCGGGTGAACATATTTGTTTTTCGTGAAAAAAAAAAGAAATTAGTTTGTTTTTTGTTTTTTTTTATTTTTAATTCATGATTGGCAACGAATTTGAACATGACTCCAAGACAAAAAGTTGATTGTATTGTTATTTTACATAACATATAGTTTTTTTAGATTTTTCTAAGACCCTTTTTTTTTTTTTTATGTTCGCGTTCAGAGGGTTGGAGCGCTTGTTTGCATTCGCCTCCGAACGTGAACACGGTGCTTCATAGTCTGTTGGTCCTCTGGTCTAATAACAGTCTGATGTTAGCCGAATTTTAGGTCTATCCTGGTGAAGTACTTACACCTTTGCACCCTATCCAAAAGGTCGTCGATGCACGGTGGAGGTTATGCGTTCATAACAGTGATGGCATTGAGGCCTCTATACTCAATGCACATCCTCCTTTCTTCAATTGATACCGGGTAATCCTCCTTCCCTCGGTATCAATCTCTCAGTATTAATCGTGATGGCTTAGATGCTTAACAAAGTGCATGAACATCCAACTTCCCACCAACCAACCCCCCCCCCTCTCTCTCTCTCTCTCTCTCTCTCTCTCTCTCTCTCTCTCTCTCTCTCTCTCTCTCTCTCTCTCTCTCTCTCTCTCTCTGTATCAATCGTGTTTCAGGGTGTTGGTAATCCTCCGCCTTTAGAATTGGTCTGTTTGTTGTAGCGCTCGGGAGGCTTGAACCATAAAAGCCTGAGATGCCACCCGCCTGAAGTGGCAGGGCCTGCGGCTCGCGCGGTTGCTGCTCTTACTCGTATGCCCCTTGCTGCGAATGTCGTTGCTCCTCCAACAATTGTTGCTGTTGATCTTGCTGCTGCTGCTGCTGCTGCTCACGTTGCTTTTGCTGTTGATGTTGTTGCTGCAGCTCCTCTGTTGGTGTTGTTGTTGTTGCAGTTGTTGTTGTTGCCACTGCTGTTGTTGTTGCTCGAGTTGTTGCTGCTGGTGTGGTTGATGTTCTTGCTGCTGCTGCTTTTGTTGTGGATGGTGCTGCTGCTGCTGTTGCTAATGTTGTCGTCGTTGCTGCCGTTGTTGCTGCCGTTGTTTCTGCTGCCGCCACTATTGCTACTGCTGCTGCAGTTGTGCTTGTCGTCGTTGTTCCGATTGTTGCTGTTGTTGCTGGTGGTGCAGCTACTGCTGTTGCTGTTGCTGCTGTTGCTGTTGTTGATGGTGGTGCAATTGCACTTGTTGCTGGTGGTGCGGTTGCTGGTGCTGCTGCTACTGCTGCTGCTGTTGCTGTTGCTTTTGTTATTATTGTTGCTGGTGGTGTAGTTGCACTTGTTGCCGCCACTGTTGCAGCTGTTGTTGGTGTCTCCGTTACTGGTGGTCGTGTGGTTGTTGTTGCTGTTGCTCTTACTGTTGCTGTTGCTGGTGCTGCCGCTCTTGCCTGTTGTTGTTGTTGTTGTTGTCGTGCCGAATCCTGCTGTTGCTCCTCCAATCGCGTACTTCTGCATGTGCCCTCCTTGTATGGAAGAATGTGCTCCCTCCTTGTGTATGAGTCGTCTGAGTCAGATTTATCAGACCTCCACATGTCTTCTAAATCCTCCGCCTCATCCGATGATTCTGATGATGACTCCCCATCATTCCAATCCCCCTCCTCCCACTCTCTTAGTCTGCCTCTTTGTGTTATAGATGTGGCACCGCCCCCATAGATGGGTTGTGGCACAGATGTAGATCCAATTGCTGACCCCGTTAGTGTTCCATTTGTGCATTCATTCCCTGCAGCAGCTCCGTCGTCCTCATCGCCTGCATCCATCTCAATATTCGTCAAACCCCCAACCAGCCACTGTTATTTGTCGCCGTGCCCTGCACCCTTCCTTCACATCGGAGGTTCCAGTGGAGGTACACCAATTTTTCCACTCTCTCGTGCTCCAGCTTGTTGCGATCCTTGGTGTGCACGAGGGCCCATGTGCTCCAATTCCTCTCAGTTGGGGAGGAGGTTGTCCACATGCTAAGTATTCGTAGTGCCAATCACTGCAAAGTTGGGTGTCCCCTCCCATGATCCTCCCAACAATCCAATGCACTGTCCATCCTCTCACGGCGCTGCACCTCCAAATCTCCAAAGATTCCTTGCTCCCTTTGGAACGCATACAAGAAGTCAATGCACTCCTGGTACTGTGGTGTCCCCTGACCCCGCACAAGATGCTCGACAACACCTCGAAATTGGGTCATCAACGTCGGATCGTTGAACACTCCTCTGTCACGCAACCTGGGGTCAAGCAATCTGGCAACTGCGTGCACAGGACTAAGGAGTTGATCTGTCCTGTTGGAGACCGCCTCCAACACTTCAGCACGTTGTCCCTCTGTCAACGGAGTTCCAAGCGCACAATTCTTCAATGCCACTGCCGTGTCGTAAACATGTGAGATGCAGTGCACATCACGATCAACCATCCGCAATATCGAGTATGCCTCGTCCATCAAATGGAACACATTCCGAATATCAATTCAAAAACGGGTAGACTGCACCAACCTCTCGACAAAACATGCCTTGTCTCGACTGGCGTATGGCCACTGCATCTCCTCCCACTCCATGCTGTTCACCGTGTCTTTCACTTGCATCTCTTTGTCCTTCAAGCGCTCGAGCATGATAAAATTTGTCCCAAATCTTGTTGCATTTGGCCTCTTAAGGACAGTCTTGCCATGCCCATAAAGCATCTCCCGCGGCCCGTTGCGAACCCTGAAGAACTTAACGACTTTGTTCGCATCGTCAAGGATCATTTTTGCCTATCCCATCTTCCCCATGTCATGGAGGAACAAGTCCATGCAGTGCGCGGTGCATGGGATCTAGTAGATATGAGAAAATTCTCGATCCTTGCTCAACGCCTTAGCAACTGCCTTGTTGGATGCGAAGGAGTCAGTGCAAATGGCAGTTACCTGTCTGTTCGCCCTCAAGAAGCTCTTCCATGACTCAACCATTGCGGCGGAGTTCTTGTCTTTCCTCTTCACATGATTACTCTTGATGAAAACTGGTTTGTCTCTCCCCGCTAGAATGTAGTTCAACATAGAGCGACCACATATGTCTGTGGTGCCATCTGTGATGAGTGTATATTCCGTCTTCTCCTAGCCAACCCGTAGTTTAGCCTCTCACTCCAAGTACGTCTCCTTCCTAGAGTCCAGGAGTTCTTCCCGCAATGCGTCATATGGGGCGTGTTTCAACGGACAGCGAGTTGCAGACTGAGGCCCGAAGCAGACTTCGCATAATTTCTTCCAACTGCTACTCTTCGCCACATTGAACGGTATGGCATTTTGTGCGAAGAGGTCCATGGCAGCCAAATCAATCTCCCGCTGGCGTGGGTTGCAGACATATCGACCCATGGGCATCTGCCTTAGTGTCCTCACAAGTGTCGGTCTGCTTGTGACCTTTGTTGCAGTTGTGCCCATCATTGTTGCTGCCTCTCCACCCTGTTCCACATCTGCTCCACCTCCCACGTCATCACCGCCACAAATGGCAGGAAGAGGGAGATCTTAAACTGTATGTGTTGCAGCCTCATCCTCCCGCTGCAACATCTTTGCGATCTTAGGTGTCAACTCCACACCTGCAGCACTCAGCCTCATGTAGATCGCCGCGGTTACATTCGAGCACCGTGATCCCTGCCTCTTCTTCGTGAAGTGTTTGATCGCGCGTGCGAGGTTGCCAGGGAACACAAGTCTGCACAAGAGGCACTTCATCTCCCTCGCGCCATGGCTTTTCGCCCCCCTTGACCTCCACTGCGCCAACCAATTCCACACGAAGTGGTCTCCTGACTTCCATGCGAGTTTCGGGTCCACATAGAATGTAGCGGACCCACCAGGTGTGGTGCTCCGCTAGTGGTAGAGATGGAGATGGAGGAAGAAGGGGGGAGCAAGATGCACAACGCAGCTCCCACGTAGGACTCCAACGCACGTACTCCAATATCGTGCAAGTGTAGAATGCTCCTGAAAACAGACAACTGCTAGGGTATACCCCAGCGGACTGATGGGACTGGACTGGATTGGCTGGTACCGACAGAGGTACCGGCCTGGACTGGACTGCCCCGAATAAAACACAGGCCTGTGAGAACAGGCCAAGGGGCTGGTCTCACAGGCCCACCAGAGGTCCGCTACACGATCCTCGGCCTGTGATGGATCGCCTAGATACAAGCACGCTTCCGCCATGAAGCGGAACTCTACCAAAGAAAAAGAAAACCTTAATAGTCTAGGATGCGGAGCAAGCTCCATGCTGAGTCCATGCGATGCAACCTAGGAGATAAGATATCACAAAACAGCAACGTCACAGCTAACAGCCTAAGTAAAAGCAGAAGCAACTAACTAGCATACATGTCTTAGGAAAGCAGAAGCAGCTAACTAGCATACATGTCCTAGGGAAAGCAGAAAGTAGTGACAACTAGATCCTAGAATGTTGGAGGCACTAGCCTCAGTCTGGGAACAACAGACTAGTGTATAAGTCCTAAGAACAGCAAAAGTAGAACAACTAAATCCTAGAAATGTCAGAGGCAGTAACCTCAATCTGAGAGCAGCAAGCAACAACCATATGTCACATGAGGAGTGTGTCGCAAACCAAAGGGTGGGATGGTCTCTGAGGGTGGCGAATGCAGCCTAGGGGTCGAAAACTCCTAAGGGCATCCACACATAGATAACAGGGAGACACATGTCATCAGGTTCAATGAGGGTAGAGAACTGGGAGCGAACAGAACCAATGACCCTAACAGATAGACCATCAGGGCGGGTAATGCTCGACAAAAGGGGTGACCGCTATGGAGGGTCGACCATGCAAAGGAACAGGGGAGCCTCGTATACTGGGCGCACCTAGATGAAGCATGCAGGGCTGCCTAACTAGGGCGTGAGGGCCGGCGAAGGGTAGAAAGATGATGGGTAAGGGAATCATGCAAATGACTCCTAAAGTCAGGGAAGTCGGAGCTCGATCCGCAAGATGGGAAGCCAGGGCAACGCTACGGTCCCGATGCCTATGCGTATACCAAGGGAGAGCCCAACTCAGAGGAACCCGGCTAAAGCGAGACCATCATGCGACACAAGCGGGGTACGGGACAGGGTAAACTGGTAAGAGAGTGATGACGTCTAAAGTAGGCAGAGCTGATCGTGACGAAATCCATGAAGCTGCCGATCACGTCCACGATGAGAAGTCCGGAATGTCGTCGAGGAAGAGCCGCAACGTCGACGAGCTGAAGTAGCAAAACTGATGTGGATGGAGTACTAGAAGTCAAAGACGTGGGAAGGTAAGTCAGAGTCAATCGTCGTATCGAGCAGGACGACGACGAGTGCGCTGTGGACGCTCAGAAGCATCCGGCTACTGTTGAAGATCTGCCTCAGATGGAGCAGGCTCGACTTCAGCGGTCTCCTCAGCCGGGGGAGAAGGAGGAGGGTCAGTGGGTTGAGGAGGAGCAGTGAACCCAGCACGACGAGCACGGTCATAGGCACGCACCAACATGCGAGTGTGCTGCAAGTGCTCGAGGGGCTCCAAGGTAGCCTCCTCATGAGGGTAACCCTTCCAACGTGCGAGATACTCAATGTGGGGAGGGTTGTCGTCAGTGACTCGGCGACCAATGATGTCTGAAACGAGGAACTCCTCGTGRCCGTCCACCATGATGGGTGGAGGGCGCTCGTATGGTCGTCCARCGAAACGCTCAGACGGTCTGCGGTAAGGACGCAGTAAGGAGACGTGGTAGACATCGTGCACACGAGCCTGACGTAGGTAGTCGGGCAGCTTCACACGGAAGCTGGCCGTGCTAGATGCCGTATTAGAACCGACGGCCTGGAGGATGCGGCATGGGCCAAAGAAGCGACACCAAAACTTGTGAAGCGTGTTTGCTTCGAGCTGTAAGGGGCGGGTGTCGATAAGCACATCATCACCGACTTTGAATGGATGATCCATCCTCGATCGGTTCGCACGTGCTGCCATGCGAGTCTGGGAAGCGGCTATGTGCTCATGTGCGGTCTTCATGATCGACGTCATATGTGCAACCCAATCATCCAGCGCGGGACAACTCGTGTCGGGGTGCATCTGTGACGGTCGAAGGAAGTCCGCGGGAACATGAGGGTGACAGCCGAGGTCGCAATAGTAAGGCGACATCCCCGTGGCTGGCGAGACGGCGTGGTTGTAGGCTATCTCCGTGTGGGCAAGATGGAGGTCCCACTGCTGGTCGTCACGAACAATCTTTCGGAATATATCTCCGAGAATCCTGTTCGTGATCTCGGTCTGACCATCAGTCTGAGGATGGTAAGACAAGGAGAAGCGGAGCTGGGTGTCGTACACCTCGTAGAGCCGTCGCCAGAATTGGTCGGTAAAGCGCGGGTCACGGTCAGATATGATGCTCAGAGGTAAGTCGTGGTCACGCACGACTCGGTCAAACACGATGTCGGCGACCTCACGTGCACTGATGGCATAGCGGCACGGAACAAAGCGCGCACGCTTCGTGAAGCGGTCAACGACGACCAGGATAGCATCATGACCGCGGGGGGTTGGAGGACGAAGAGGACTGATAAAGTCCATCGAAATGGACTACCAACGACCCTCAGGGATAGGAAGAGGCTGGAGTAAACCATAAGGCAAGTGGTTCGCACTGTTCACCTTCTAACAGGTGGGACACTCTGCGACGTAGAACTTCACAAAGTCCTTGCGCTTCGACCAGACGTACAGGCGGCTCACACGAGCCAACGTCTTGTGGAAGCCATATGACCGGCGGCTGCCTGGTCATGGAACTCTGCTACTGCTCGGACACGTAGCTGTCCAGTGGAGGGAACGCAAATACGGGGCTCTCTAGTGCCCTGTGAACCGTGCCAGTACACAAGACCGTTGTCTTCGAGAGAGTAGTTCGGGACGGTCTTGCCACTCCGAAGGGTCGCGTGGATGTCGCGATAGTCGGGGCAGTGGCGGTACTGAGTGCGAAACTCGTCGATCATCGAGTGGTGGACGGTGGTGACTGAGATGGAAGAGAGTTGGATCTGCTCCTGGTCGTGGTCAGGGCGCCGGGATAAGGCATCTGCAACCCGATTAGTCTCACCCTTGATGTGCTTAGTGGTGAAACTAAACTCAGATAGGTCGCGCCACCAGCGAGCCTGTCGAGGAGTGAGCTTCGGCTTTGTCAGAAAAGCCTGGACAACAGAGTTGTCCGTGCGCACTGTGAATGGTGCCCCGTGCAGGTAGTGACGCCAGTGTCGAGCGGCATAAACTATTGCGAGAACCTCACGTTCATCAGCAGTGTAGTTTATATCGGCGGGCAGAAGCTGACGGGAGTAGAAGGCTATCGGACAATCACCTGAGAGAGACTCGATAGTGCCGTCCTCGACGATGGTAGGAGAATAGTCAATAGAAGGCTCGTCAGTAGGTGGACGAGTAGGCGTCAGTCGGGAAGCAGTGGTAGAGGTAGGTGGTGGGAAGCGAGGGATACGAGGATGAGAGGAATCAGGAGAGGAGGGGAAGACCTGAGAAAGCACTGCTCCTACAGCAAAGTCTGACGCATCGGTGGTAAGGATAAAAGGGCGATCAAAATCGGGTAGGTGAAGAACCGGTGCGCATGTCACCACCTTCTTGAGGGCGCGGAAGGCGTTCTCGTGGAGGGGTGTCCAAGCCCAGGGTGGGATCTTCCGAAGGAGGGTGGAGGTAAGGACGTAGGAATTCCTAGCGTATCCCTAGATGAAATTACTCTTGTAGCTGGTCAGGCCTAGGAAGCTGCGAAGCTGATTGGCGGATGTGGGAACGGGCCACTCCACAATAGCAGTGATTTTCGCGTCATCCATGTGGAGACCCTGGTCGGACACATAGTGTCCTAAGAAATCCATTTTGTGTTGGGCAAAGCGGCACTTGCTCAGCTTGGCGTAGAAGCCATGTCTGCGCAAGCGGTCAAGGACGTCGCGGAGGTGTCGGAGGTGCTCCTCAAGGGTATGACTGTAGACCAGGATGTCCCTGAAGATGTCGTTCATCGCCCTCTGAAAGGTAGAGGGTGCATTGGTGAGGCCGAATGACATCACCATGAACTCGTAGTGGCCGAAGCGCGATCGGAACGCTGTCTTCGGCTGGTCGGCTGTAGCAACGCGGATCTGATGGTAACCGCTACGAAGATCAATCTTCGTAAAGAAGCGGTTGCCTGCTAGGCGGTCAAACAACTCATCGGAACGAGGCATGGGGTAGCTGTTCTTAACAGTGTAGAGGTTGAGGCCGCGATAGTCGATGCAGAGACGGAGAGTTCCATCCGCTTTGCGAGCAAAGAGGACGGGTGCACCCCACGGGGAGTTGCTGGGTTTAATGAAACCCAGTCTCAGGAGCTCCTCAAGCTGACGCTTCAGTTCAGTGGCCTTGGGGATCGAGAGTTTGTAGGGTGCCTGGTGGTGAACACGATAGTCAGGCACAAGCTGGATGGAGTGCTCGACGTCGCGCATCGGTGGGATGCCAGCGTACGAGAACGACGATGGAAAAATGTTGTGGTACTCTCGAATGAGGTCACGAACTGCGGGCTCCCGGTTGGCCGTATAGCGTGCGAGTTCCTAAGCGGCAGTGTCAGCGCGCGACGGCGGGGTGCACTCGACGGACGGCGGAGGAATGAAAGTAGAGATGGGAGCCATGGAGATAGAAGGAGGATCTGTCTCCAGAGGGATGAGCTCGGCGTCGGGACAGGGTGGATCATAATGTAAGAGATATGTCACGTTCACCATTAAGAAGGTGACGTCGTCCTGTCGGACGAAGTGGACGACCTGCCGAGGCGAGGTGACAATGATAGAAGGAGATGGTGTGGGCACGGAAGGCTCCGGGGGAGGAGGATCGGGGCGTGGTGTCGCAGTGGTACCTATGAAAGGTACGCGATACGTCTGTCCACACTTCGTTTTGAGAACGAGAGTGTTCGTCGCCCAATCGGCCTCGGTGCTGCGGAACCGACGAGACCACGGAGTGCCGAGAATGAAGTCGTACCCCGTCTCCATCACATCGAAATGTGCAGAGGAGCGGTAGCGACGAGATGCCGGGGGACGATCAGTCGGCTCGAGAGTGAGGAAGAAAGAGAGGTGGGTGACCGTCTGATCGAAGAAGCACTGGGTCTTGTCATCCCCTAGGGTGACAGAGATGGGAGTCGGAGACCTGGTCGTGGGTAAGCGGACTTCTTTCACCACACGTGGGTGAATGAAGTCGCCCTGAGAACCGGAATCCCACAACGCTGAGTACACCCTCGTGGAGGTCCCCAGTCGTACGGGGATGATCGGGAGGGTGCGATCAGGGTTAGAGAGGATGGTGAGAAGGCGACGCAGGGCAGCGACATGGAGGGTGAGTCCCTCCTGACGAGCCCTGAGCATGCTCAAGTCCAGAAGAGAGGACACAACGTCCTCGCGAGTCGCAAGCTGCTCGCTGCAACGGGCTGAGCGAATGGCTCGACGCGTCGGTAGTCGCGGCTGGGTAGGAGAGGATACGGTGGTCTGCGGAGACGCAGATGATACTACGACAGAGGGCTGAGCACACTCTGTCGGGTCCTGCGAGACCTCAACTTCAGTAGTGAGAGGGGCAAACCATGACGAGGATGTCGGGAAGCCGACTACTGAGGAGGGCACAGGTGTACACTGCACCGTGGCTAGGAGGCGCCGCGAGGATGCGAGGCGCCGGGGGGGACTGAGCACGACGCTGGCTGGAAAGGTCAGCGTAGTGGCGGTCAAGGGCGGTGGTGTAGGTGCACCGCGAGGAGGTATGACTGTCCTGACGGTATTCCAAGCATCCACGCCGACCCAAAATAGCCGCGCGCTCCTTAACGGAAAGGACACCGTGAGGAGGGACAAAGTGCTGAGGGAGGTCCTGCTGAGGGACCTCGGGGGGCGACGCGCCAGAGTGACCAGGGCGGCTGCGTGCCCGGGAAAGGGTGGAGAGGATGAGCTGGAGGCGCTCAGCCATAGGGAGAGTAGGGTCCTCCAGGTGGTGGTGGACGACCTCGCCAAGGTCGAGGTCGTCGCTATGGTCACCCTCTGGCGACAGTCGGGCACCAGCGTCCTGCTCACCATACTCGAGCGAGCTGAAGCGGCGTGAGAAGTGGCGGCCCTGCTGCGCGGAACGGTGGGGGCGACCGCGGAAAGAGGAACGGCGTTGGGAAGTGTCGTGAGAGGAGGAGGAGGCGTAACCAGTACGCTGTGGCTGGGAGGAGGCGGGGTGAAGACGGGCCCGCATCCGCTAATGGTCCCTGGCGGCCTCGTAAGCCTGCGGGGTCGATGTGAACTCGTACCGTCATAGCTCGGAGCGGTACTCGAGCGGAAGGCTGGCCAAGAAACGATCGATAAGGATCGCCTCGGGGAGGAACGCCATGTCACAAATGAGGCGGGCGTCCTGAAAGACCTGGATGTGGTGATCCAGGCTGGCGGTGCCACCAGAGCCGGACCAGCGTGTAGTGACGACACGCTCGAAGGCGTCAGTCACGTCATATCCGGCTCCGAAGCGATCCTCGTGGAACGCCTGGAAATCCATGAAGGTCGGAGTCCGACCCGCACGAACGGAGTAAGCGTAGAAATCCTCCCAGGCGTCGGAAGGACCGCCACGCAGGCGCGTGGAGAGGTGAGTCACCCACGTGCCGGGTGCGGCACCCATGAGCTGGAGCGTGCGGGTGGCAGACTGTAGCCACCGAGATACGTGTATGCCTGTACCGTCAACTGGACGAGTGGTGCGCCACCGTTTTGGCGGTGAGGAGAACGGGAAGCAGGGGATTGCGCTGCGGCTGAATAAGTCGGCGCAGATCTAGGAGGAGGGGGGGCAACTGACTGTACACCCGGGCCGCATGGTGGAGCGGCGGGGGAAACAGCGGCAGGCTGCACCGGCGTTGCGGTAGAAGAGGTCGCAGTAACCGAGGGGATAGGGAGGAGGTAGGATGGGGATGGGTAGGGTGCAGGGCGAGGGAAGCGAGCCTGCATGGAAGGAAGAGTAGAGGAAGAAGGGGGTGCGCTGGAAGGCGCGGCCACCTGTGAGGGTGGGGGAAGCTGAAGGCATGAGAGGGCGAGGTCGGCCCAGAGCTGGGCAATCTCGTCCTCGAGACCTCGAACGTAGGTCGTGCAAGGGGTAGCAGGAGGAAGAGTGGGGGAAGAGGACGCACAAGCGGCGCGGGGCATCCCAGAGGGGGGAGAGCCAGGTGGCGTTGCGGTCGTGCGAAGGGGAGGGAGAAGCGGGGCACCCGGAAAAGGTGAGACCATGGTAGCGGGTTGTTGTATCGTGGCCGTAGTGACCGGGATCCGGGCGGGTGCGCCCGTAGACTGAGGGAGGGCCTGGCTCGTGGCGGCCGTCGTGCTAGGGGCGTGGACAATCACCAAGATGGTCGGGTCGGGGGCGGTGAAGGAGGAAGCTCCGCCGTGGCCACCCTGTCGGAAGACGGGGTACCCGGACTGGGAGCCAGGAGATGAAGGGCAAGCAGCGTCCTGGAGTTGCTGCATGTCGGCGCCAAGGATCGCCACTTGCGCCTGTAAGGGCGCGAGGATCGCGAGTTGCGGCTGAATGGGTGCGAGGAGGGAGGTGATAAGGGTGTGCAGATCCCCCTGGGGCTGGTGGCCCTGGTCTGTCGGCACGGGTGTGGAGCCCTGTGCCGTGGTCGTCGCCGCGTCGGCGGCGTGTGACACACCGTCGGCCATGGGGAGGTGACGGGCCGGACTGGAGGGGGCCAGGAGGGGTCCGCGTGAGCGGAGGGCATAGGGGGGAGTCTGCGGTAGAAGGCGGCGGACGGCGATAGCAAGGCTGGCGCGGGCGCCGTCAAAGGGGGAGGGGTGGTCCGGGTCCAGGGTGCCCGAATAGAAAGGGGAGTTGGGGGGGGTTGAAGAACTCTAAACCTTAGAAAAACCCTAAGAAAACCCTAACCGGAGTTTGAGTGGTTAGGGTACAGTGCCGGTAACCTAATCAAGAAAATAAAATAACAAGCATAGGGGGGGGAAGGCGGGAGAAAAATAAATAAACAGCAAGATTTCGAGAGAAAATAAAAATAAATAAGGAAATAACTAAATAATAAAAATAATCAAAAAAATAAGTAAAAGATGTGAAGAGAAGAAACAATATTTATTTTTTTTTAATTTTCGGCAGCATTTCCTTACCCCCCATGGGGTCAAGAATGTGCCAAGGGGAAAGGAGAGACCAAGGTGAGCACACTAGGGTCAAGATGCCGCAAAAAAAAAAAAATAATAAAAAAAAAATAATAATAATAAATAAATAAATAAATAAATAAATAAATAAGTAAATAAGTAGATGAGGAGGGGGAGAGAAATGGAGTATCTGATTTTTCAAAAATTTTGGCAGCATTTCGTTACGCCCATGGGGTCGAAGTGTGCCGAAAAAGACTAAGTAAGAGAAAATCAGAAAATTTCGGCAGCACTTCGTTACCCCAACGGGGTCAAAACGTGTGCCGAAAGCAAGAAAGACTAACACCTAATCAGATTTAGGATTTCCGTAAAGAAAGTCGAATTTTCAGAATAAATAGAAAAATAAATAAAATAAATCAGAAAATAAGAAAAGAAGGTGGGGAAGAAGATAATTCGAATTTTTGGAAAAAAGAGAAAGGATAAATCAAAAGAGAGATAGAAAGAAGAAAAACAGAAAAAATTTGAAGTAGGGGGGAAGGGGAATGAAAAAGTGACGGAGAAAAGAAAAAAATAGGTAGGAGAGAGAAAAAGATGGAAGTGGAAGGTGGGGGGATGATGTGGTGGTAGTTGGGGGAGAGGAGGGTTGGGGAAAGGTGGAGAGGGATCAAGAAGCAAAGAGAAAAGGAGGAGGAAAGAAAAGAAAATAAATAAAGAAAAGAGAGTAAAAGAATGGGTGGTGGGAGAAAAGGTGGGGTGGGGAGAGGGGTATGAGTAAGAGGAGAGAGAGAGAGAGATATGGAGGGTGGGTTAGTAGAGAGAGGGGAGAGAGAGAAGAGATACCTGGCCCTTGGTGTCTCCAAGGGCACAAGGTATACCAAGACCAGAAGGTTCTTAGCCTTCGCTGCAGCAAGCCGGCTGGAGGAGAGAGGGGGCTGAGATCTTGATCAGCCCCTACCAGCAGCAGTTCTGCATATTTGTAGATCTAGGGTCTGCTGTGTGAGCAGACCCTCACCACTGTAGAGCAGCCCCCTAAGCAGGGGGGTCTTGAGTTCCACCACGAGGTGCCACGTGGCAGCAGAGATGGCCACGTGCACAGGCAACAACAGCCAGCCGAGGGGGGGAACAAATAGCAGCCTGCCCGTTGCTGCTCGCTGCTCGCCGGCAAGGGGGGGAGGGGGGGGGGGGAGGAAATAGCCAGCACGGCACCTCTTCAAGAGGGTTGTGTCGTGCTATAGGGACATTTACACTCTGTGGCGAGTGTGTTATAAGGGTGCTTACTCACGTGCATGGCTCACGAAGCGCCTGGGTTCAAACCCCGGCAGCAGCAAGAATTCTCGGATCTTAATAATGTAAATCCGAGAGTGGGGCGCGTGTGCGCTGCCTTGGCGCTTGTGTGCACGCGCTCATGGTGGTGCCTCCCTTTTTTGCCACATGCCACCTTCAGCAGCCGCCTGCTTTTC